ATTTTAATAAATTAAACATGATAAAATAAAATTATTTTATATAAGCTAAGTCTAATATTACATTTATCACCTAATAATTGATGTGTCTTTTTCTTGGCATACGATTGAATTCTAATATTTGTAAAAGTGTTAATAATAAACTTAATAACCTGCGTTTCATGCAGTTCTCCGTCTGTATTTCTGATAGGATGAGATGGCTGAAAAATGTTCGTTAGATTATTTAGAAAATGTTGCAATACTAATATGATTAATTATTATCTGTTTAAAGCTGTCTTCAAGCATATACTGCATCTTTACTGCAGTATATTTTACAATTTCAAAGACAGTTTCGCTTGGAAAATATAATTTTCCTTCATTGATAAAATTTACGAAATTGGCGTAACTATTTAGTTATACACAGTACCACTTTTCTAAGTAACATTTCCTTACATTTTTTGCAAGTATCTTTCGTAAATAATTTCCTCACAATGTACCCAGCTATATAATATAAAACATTTTCTTGGAAGCATGTAGGAAGCAGAAGGTACTATCCACAAAAGGGATTAATTTGCTTAATTCTTCATCGGTATGAACGTTCTCGCTATCTGTTGTATTATTTGAACTTACTCGATTTTCAAAAAGTGGTGTTGACTGAAAATCGATGTTCATGCAATTTGAATTAACACCTGGCTGAACACTTTGTTAAATAATAACTTCCTCAATGTCCATTTAAATTGAAGAGCATTGGGACAATTATTAAAGTCTCCACGTGATCGGATACATGAAAAATATAATTCGAGATGATATATATTCCTAACAAATCCTGTAGCAAAGGTCTTTCTTCTATGACGTACAATTTCAGTACCATCTGCTTCTAAATTTAAAATATAATTTTCAGTAACATCAAAGATCTTTGACCAATAATGTTTATTTCTTAAATACATAGGTGACTTATATCCCTTTGCAAATATTGATCTAGAATTCATAAGGTCGAAGATTCTATCAAAAATTCTTATAAATTCAACTGTTCGCTACCAATAAAATCTGAATGACCACTTTTACATATAAATTCAATAGCATTAGGCACACTTGAACTAATTGTTTGTGTGGCTTAACGAACGTTCATTTTGTATTGTTTGAAATTAACATGAGAACCAGATAATCTATGTGCCAATTTCAGATGTTGTTCATCGTGCAGGTGGTGTAATTTTTTCAAATATGAAAATGAAATTTGACCTGTTGACGATGATAGAGAAATTTCCGCAAAAGTATTTCTTAATAATTTAAATACATGGCATGGGTCTAAAATACAAAATATTATGTTTTTATTAAATGGATTGGTAAAAAATGGCGTAATATTATCTGCAGATAAATTGCAGAATAGCAATGTTAATGTTTTAATATTGGTAGCACAACCATCACACGTAATTGATTTAACATTAATATTACCTATTTCAAATAATTTTGGATGACTAATAATATTAAATTTTGTTGTAAAGAAACAGATATTTTGTTAACAAAAAATTATGCAATGGGACATTTAAATTTCATACTAAATGAAACAATTTGAAAAATTAGAGCCTAAGTCGCCAATTCTTCATCAGTAGTATTAGCAATACCACCATAATGCACATATCCATAATGTCTATCATTTTTCTTATCACAAACAATAGAGCTTCGTACTGTCATTGAATCAAAAATTAATGCAACATCTTTTAAATAATCGTTATCTAATATTTGTATTTTTAAATATTCAAATACTTCTGTTATAAAACCAACTTCACAATTAACAGAAGAGAGCCAGGTTCTTAATGTTGCACCATAAGGTAAATTTAATTTATTACGTACAAATGTATAAGCTCTAGTCGAATCAAATTTAAGATCAGCGCAAATTTCTTCATTTCATCTTTATACCGTTTTTGGGTTTTGCTGTTTTTTGAAATAGCGCAGTGAATAGTGATAGATCAACAGTAGTGTAAATAAATAGAATAATTCATAACCTAACTTTAATAATAATTTAACAGTGTTTTTAAGTTCTCCAATAAATAATTAGTGTAAATAAGTAGTTTTTGTCGTTATCAGGCTTAGAAGTAATTTTTTTTGTTAACACAACAGTCTAGATAATCATTTTCTTTGAAACGTTCACTGCATATTTTAATAGAGGAAGTTGGTATGAAGTTTTTTCGTCGAACTGCTTGTATACATAACTGTAACTTCTGAAGATTCTTCAGTGGAAATCTAAAATAAATATAAGAACTAATATACTAATAATTAATATGGCAATTATCCTTATTTTTCATTAAAATTTTTGCGTACACATGTACCTACCCATAATGCAGTTTAAATTTTATTTTTAATCTCTAATTAATACTTACTTATGGAATTGTATGTTTCCATTGGGTCTCCAATCATTTGTACACCCGTAAGCGCAACAATATTTAACCATTTTAACTAAATTTCTTGAAGACTTATATAAGCTGCTAATTGAAGCGAGAGATGTACTTTTGAAGAAATACATTAAACATAGAAAAAAATGAAGGTTATCGATCGATCGATATTCAAAATAAAATCATCAATATTTGTGGGGATGTTCTTAAGGCAGATATGATAGAAAAAGTAAAAGTAGAGGCATAAACTGTATTAGCAGATAAAACGACTGGCATTTCTTAAACAAAACGTTTATCGATTGGACTGCGATATTTCCATCAAGATAAATCATTCGAAGGAAGATATTTTTTTGCTATAATGAAGGCCTTACAAACTTTATCGCGTGAGGGAAGCACTGTTACTCCAAAAAATACCTTTAGCTCCATGCCACTGCTTCCACCGTTCCATTTATTCTGTGTTTCAAGTTGATAGTCAAAAACTCCGCATTAATGGAACCCGTATCCAGTTGATAGCTTCAGATACGATCAAAGCCACGCAACACTTTAAAACCATTTTACAATTACTTAAAATATATCATGATGATTCTGAAGAAGTTACAAAAAAGTAGGACAACTGCGTCAAGGATGACGGTGGCACAAGCTTCTGTGGTCGCAGACACTAGCGCAAACAGCTTGGTCCATCGACTGGCGGTATCCTCCACGATTAAGATATATTTTAGGGGCTTATGATCAGTCACCACAACGACTGACGATTCATCTATGTATCGGCGGAACTTGGACATGGCCCACACAATGGCCAAATCTTCGCCGTTTCATGGTCGTGTAGTTTCTCTCAGCGGAAGTAAGCGGCCGACTGACGTACTGCACGGGACGTTCTTCGTGTCCGTCCCCCTGCAGTAGGGCTGCTCCGAGTGCATATCGGCTGGCGTCCGTGCGTAGGAACGGCTGTGAAATGTCAGCCTGCCACAGGATCGGTGAGGTCGTCCTTAAGCGTGTCGAAAGCGTTTCGTTAGTCAGCTCTCCATTCCCATACAACGTCTCGTTTAGTTAGTCGGCTCAGGGGTCAGGGTCACTCTGCGAATCCCTTTACGAATCTCCGATACCAAGAACATATTTATAAGAATCCCTGTAATTCTTTCAGGTTTCTTGGGGCAGGCAGGGATCGGTTAGCCGAAACCTTGTTGAGATCGGTATCTAAGGGTGCCCTGGGGCGTGGATATGTGTCCCAGATACCGAAATTCTGGGCAGCAGAAACGACACTTAGGCTGGCTCATCCGAAGCATAAGGATGAAGATCTTCTCCAATTCCTCTAAGTGTCGGTGGAAATTTGGGGACAGCAAAATAAGCATAATATCCCTTGAGGAAGATTAGTATTTTTTTTTACTCCATTCTGTAATTTTCAAATTCGCATATTTGTGTTTCGGAAAGAAGTAGCAAACTTGCAGAAGGTGATAAGGCACTATCATTATCATCATAAGGGCATACAAAAGAAGAAAATTAAGTTAATGTTTGGTAATCCGAAAGTCCACCATTTACACGCAAGAGCCATTTCGAACCTGATAGCATTACACAGGGAAATACAACATTGCAACAACGCATTAGCTGTTTTTTAACAGAATCTGTGTTATACTTCTTTTGTATTTTTGCAGTTATGTATTGTTTGTTATTTATTTATTTGTTAGATTAGATTAAGTGTGATTAATGATGTTTATGTTTACAGTCAGCCTAGAGAGGTTGCTTGTTCTTTTAACGTTCTAGGTTTTTAATATATTTGTATACTGACAGTCGATGTTATTAGAAGTAGGTCATTATGACAGTGTAGTAGGTCAGTGCACAATTTTTATTGTAATTATTAATGCGTGAGTTTCTGGAGGAACATTTTCCTAGATGCTAGATTGAACGTATGCGTCCTGTGTCCAGCCCGAACGGGGCTCGCCGATGCTTACAATAAAGCTAGCAAGCGGCCGATATCTGGCTAACATTAAATGGCCGTGAAATAATTTCCATCCGCTGGTCAGTGATTGGTAATTAGTTGGTTAAAGATTAACTCTTTGTTATGAATACCTTCTCAGGTTACCGATAGACGGCCAGTTCTGACATCACTAGTTTCACCACAAGCCGAGATAAATAAAAGTACAATACAATTCGAAACATTTGATGAAGAAAAGGAAACATTCAAATCATACAAAGAAAGGTTAGAAAATTTTTTCGAGCTAAAAAATTTACATGGGGTATCAGCCGAAATGAATACTGTAAAGGCGAGAATTCTCATAAATGCACAAATGCATGTACGAAATACTATCAATTATTAACAAGTGTGACTTCACCTGAATTATCTGCTTCGAAATCAAATGAAGAATTAATTACACTTTTGGAAAAACAATTGTGTTCCCTTTCAAATGTTCATACAGAACGACATAAATCCTTATCATGTATACAAAAAAGTAATGAGTCAATAGCACAATATATAGCAGAATTAAAACACTTATCCACAACTGCAAATTGGACTTGTCAAGATCCGAATCGTAAAAAACTAATAAACTCTGTGCTACAAGCACAATTTATCAGAGGAATACAAGATGTAGAAATACGTGAACAAATGTTACAACAAGGAACTGATATTAATCTAGAAAAAGCAATTGAAGTAGCTTTAGCTATCGAAGCAGCTAAAACGCAAAATAAAATGTATACAACATCATGAAAAATTGATATGAATCAGGTAAATAAAATAAACAATTATGCGAGATCATCGTCAAGTGAGGGAGGAAACACCTCATATCATAAAAGGCAACAATATAGACAGAAAAATCAAGAAAAGAAGAATAATAGAAGCATTGATGACTGTAATTTGCAAAATATCTGTCTATGTTGTGGTAAAGACGATCACATTGCAAGGGACTGTAAATCTAAGAGAAATCTTACATGTAACAGCTGTGGAAAAAAGGACATATTGAGAAAGTTTGCATTTCAACTACATTAGAAACTAATAAAGCTGTCAAACGAATAGAAAAAGAAGAAGACGATAGTGATAATGAAGACGATAATGATGAAATATATGAAATAAATCAAGTAGTAGTGAATACAAAGCAACCAATTATAGTGAGAGTCAAGATAGCAAATGAAAACAAAAAATTTTCATTCAATATGGTGAGATACAGACTAAAGGAAATGTATATGTTGTACCACAGAAAGTATCACCTGTACTAGGAAGAGAATGGATCAAAAAGCTAAATATAGATTTGCAGAACACGTCAGAGGGTAATCAGCATACTGCAATGACGAGGATGGTATGTAGCATAAAGACAACAGTAACAGATATATTCAAAAGATTTTCAGATGTGTTTGAGCCGTCTGTAGGATTAATACCAGAAATAAAATGTAGACTTTTACTGAAAAATAATGCAAAACCAATATTTGTAAAGCCCAGGACGATACCGTACTCACTACAAGAAAAAACGAAGCAAGAAATTGAATCATTTGTAGCACAAGGTATCTTAGAAAAGACTGAAATGGCTGAGTGGGGGCACCTGTGGTACTTGTGCCTAAACCTGACAAATCAGTGAGAGTTTGTGCTGATTACAAAGTCACACTTAATGCCCAGTTACATGACAATAGATATCCTATTCCAAAAATAGAAGATATCTTCAATAAACTCAATAATGGGAAGTATTTCTGCGTTTTGGATTTATACAAATCTTATCTGCATTTAATGCTTGATGAGGAAAGTCAGAAGATAGCAACCATTTGAACACTATGGGGTACGTATCTGGAAAACGACTGTTTATGGGTATCAAAACAGCACCTAATTTATTGCATAAAGTTATTGATCAAATAGTAGGTGGAGTAGAAGGTACTGTTGCTTATTTTGATGAAATATTAATTCAAAGAAACACACTCGAGCAATGTGATGAACGTCTTATAAAGTGTCGTGAACATCTAAGAAAAAATAATTTACATGTCAACAAAACCAAATGCAAATTCTTTGTGACTTCCGTTAAGTATTTAGGACATCAAATCAGTGCAAAAGGCTTGAAAAAACACCAGATAAGATACAAACAGTATTACAAGCCTCGCGTCCAGCAAATGTTAGTGAAGTGCAGTCTTTTTTAGGATTGGCACTGTATTACGCCAGATTTATTCCAAACGCTTCGTCTATTTTGTACCCTCTAAACCGACTTTTACAAAAGAATATACCATTTAAGTGGACAAAAGCTTGTGAAAATTCTTTTAAGACAATACAAGCTGAAATTCAAGTGATAGAGTGCTAGTAACATATAATCCAGACCTCCCACTAGTATTAGCCACTGATGCCAGCCCACATGGACTTGCTGCTGTGTTGTTACATACACAAAATGGAGAAGAGAGGCCAATCAGTTTCGCATCTCGATTACTGACCAAAAGTGAATGCAATTACAGTCAATTAGATAGAGAAGCTACTGCTGTGTACTGGGCCTTCAAGAAATTTTATCACTATATATATGGTCGAAAGTTCACTCTTATAATCGATAATAAGCCACTAGAGCGAATATTTCACCCAGAAAAATCTATGCCAGTTATCTCTGCTCACCGATTATTGAGATATGCTCAATTTCTTAGTGGATTTGATTATGAAATCAAACATAAACTGTCAAAAGACCATGCTAATGTCGATTATTTTTCGAGACATCCAGTAAAACTTGATGTTAAGCTCATAGATTATTGTGAAGAGTCTTTTCAAGTAAATGAAATAACCGTAGCAACTATGACTGATACATCACCGATTACCGCGGAGCATATTCGAAGCGAAACAAATCGCGATCCTGAACTTAGTAAAATAAAGACACAGCTTCTTAACGGAGAAACTCGAAGTCCAGAATATACGCTTCATACAGGTATCGTCATGAGAAGGACGAGAGTATATGTACCAGCTTCTCTTCGACCATCTATCTTAAAAGAACTGAGATGGTTAAGATGAAAAGTATCGCACGTACTTTATGCTATTGGCCTGGAATTGATAATGAAATTGAGTGTTTAGTAAAAGCTTGTCACCGCTGCGCTGAAGTAAAAAAAGATCCTGCTAAAGCTCCGTTACATCAATGGCAAGCCCCAGAAAAACCATGGCAACGAATACATGCAGATTATGCTGGACCTTACAAGGATCATCAATTCTTAATCGTCATAGATGCTAAGACAAAATGGATAGATATCCATGTTTACAAAACCACCGACATCACGATCTACGATAACTGCCCTGGAGGAAATATTTGCAAGAAATGGACTACCGTGTCTGCTTGTCACTGACAATGCTACCTTATTCAAATCTCAAGAATTTCGTCAATTTTGTCAGCAGAACGGCATTGAACAACGGTTCAGTCCACCAAATTATCCAGCGACAAATGGTCTTGCCGAATGTGCGGTACAAACGTTCAAACAAAAACTCAAAGCAATGTCAGATGAATCGGGAAATCTCAGGAGCAAACTAAATGCTTTCTTTTTTAAATATAGAACAACTCCTCTTGGTGATGGAAAAACACCCGCTGAATTGCACTTAAATCGACAGCTACGTACACGTCTTCATTTGATTAAACCAGCAGACGCGTTGCCTCGTTTACCTGATACAGAACTTCCTTATCGATGTCTTAAGATAGGAGATCGAGTGCAAGCTCGTAATTATGCTGGATCTGCAGTATGGAAGTTTGGTACAATTGTAGAGCGTTCAGGAAAGCTACATTATCTGGTAGAGTTAGATTATGGATATGTTATTCAACGACATATTAATCAACTTCGAGAAACAGAGGTTGACATTACCCAACTACAAATTACACAAAAACGACAGAACCCGCAGAGAAGGAGGAGGCACGGCCATCTATATCAAAAATTCCATTGAACACAACCCGCTCCCTACCACCTCAAAGGAAGACATAATCGAAGCCACGGGCATCCGCCTTGTCAACAAAAACACGTGGAGCAGATGAAAGAAT